CCAAAAAAAAAAAAAAACCCACCCACCAAAACCAAAAAAACCCCCCCCCCCCCCCCCGCCCCCACAAAAACACTATAGTGGGAAAACACTATAATAGATATCCAGTGGGTGGTAAATCTCCACCCTCAAAGTTTTGAAAGTATTCTGGACAAAGCCTTGAGCAACAAAACCTAACTTTGAAGGTTAGGTCTTTCCCCTGCTTTGAGCAGGAGGTTGTATTACAATTGACTTCAGAGATGCCTTACAACTTCATGATCCTATGAAGTCTGATGTCACCATAAGCTTTTCTCAGGTATTATTATTGTGTTAAATGATGTCATAAACTTCTGTATTGCAGCATTGTGTACTTGACCTCTTGTCAAGAAAACAACTTGCCTGTTTTAGGATAGCGTGCTAGAATCACATCGTCACACCTCGTTGCAAAGGATTTCAGAGCTTCCAAAGTTTCTGGGCTGCTAAGTGTAGCAGGGTATAAAATACCTCGGTAGGAAAACAGCATGCCTTCTGGGGGAATCTTTTCACTTTGTGAAAAAGAATTTTCCACTGTTTTGATAACCCTATCCCTATTTCTGCTCATGTTTGTATCCCTGTGGAACTCCTTTCAAACAAACAAGATACAGGCAATTCTGTACTCTGTCAACACCTTTTGAAATTACAGGACTGCAGACTGACAATAGTGACATAGAGTCTTTGCTGCAGCTGATACTAGGAACAGGAATCTACTGGGGTAACAACTAATAGCATCTGGAATGTTAAATGAAAGCAAAGAAAGACCTATAAAAGATATTCCCTAAAATATTTTTAATTGGTAAGCAATGCAGTGCAATTTGCAAACTGGACAACCAGCATGTAGTGGACATGTGGACAGTGGATCTCAGCCGAGATTGCTCTTGACTCCACTAATGGATACACATCCAAAGGTGCAACTTCATTCCAGGCAGCGGCTCTATCCTGTAGCCAGTCACTGTAACATCATCACTTCAGGCAGTATGTCCAGAGGTAAGGACAACTACCTCCTAAGCCATACTTCTCATGATTAAACACTCACATTTGAGATTTTTACTTCACCAAATCCTACAGGAGGGTTACTTGCATATGAAGCCCTAATACCTAGGTTCTGCATTAATGCAAATCAAATTCTACCTGTATGACTTCAGCTCTACTTCTCCCTACCAATATCCATAATTTAATCTTCGAATGAAATTGTTCTTGATGGGAGAGTTACTGGTATTCTGGCTGATGCCTTTTTGAAAGATAAAGAGTACTGAGATGGAGAAATAGGTATCTCCACAGGTCACGCCAACAGAGTACATGCAATACAGGAAAGCTGGTGAGGGGCCTGGAGCACAAGTCTTATGAGGATCAGCTGAGGGAACTGGGGTTGTTTAGTCTGGAGAAAAGGAGGCTGAGGGGAGACCTTATCGCTCTCTACAACTACCTGAAAGGGGGTTGTAGTAAGGTGGGGGTTGGTGTCTTCTCCCAAGTAACAAGCAATAGGACAAGAGGAAATGGCCTCAAGTTGCACCAGGGGAGGTTTAGATTGGATATTAAGAAAAATTTCTTCACCAAAAGGGTTGTCAAGCACTGGAACAGGCTGCCCAGGGAAGTGGTGGAGTCACCATCCCTGGAGGTATTTAAAAGACATGTGAATGTGGTGCTTAGGGACATGGTTTAGTGCTGTCCTTGGTAGTGCTAGGTTAACGGTTGGATTTGATGATCTTAAAGGTCTTTTCCAACTTAAATGATTCTATGATTCTATGATTCTATAACTCAGCACTTCTCAGGCCACACCTGGAGTACTGTGTCCAGTTCTGGTCATCACAATTCAAGAAACACACAGACAGACTGGAGGGGGGTCAAAAGGAGGGCCACAAAGATAAGAAGGCTCAGGGAGGACCTCATCACAGAATTCCAGTACTTAAAGGGCAGCTACAAAGAGGACAGAGGCTCTCTGTTCACAAGGAGACACATTGAGAAGGCAACAGGCAATGGGTACAAGTTGCACCAGATTTCATCTCAATATAAGAAATAAATTCTTTACAGTGAGAACAATCATTCACTGGAACAACCTCCCCAGGGATGTGGTAGAGTCCTCATCACTGGAGGTTTTCGAGATGCAATAATCTCATTTAGGCCCCCTTTCCCATGAAAGGTTGGACCAGATGGTCTTTCGAAGTCCCTTTCATCCTGGGCTGTTCTATAATTCTATAAAAGCAATGCCTCTGAGTGGATCTTGCCTGCTAATGCCAACCTGTAATCTGAAATCCATCTTGAAATTCTGCATTCGGAGAGATTAAAATGCCTAAGAATGCTGATCCCCATTCCCTTTCATTGTCCTCCCTCTAGCTTTGATCCAGTTTGTGCTGAAGTCATAGGGAAGACACCCTTTGTCATTAATTAAAGTTGTGTCAGATCCATATTTTTGCTAGTGATCTTTTCTGTGAAGATGTTGCCCGATTTGAAACATTTTTGAAAAAAAAAAGTCTACGTACTAAATAAGAAGTAGTCTAGAAAGACTGTGTTTGGCTAGAAAGAGAAAGGGGGCACTTCCTTCCAGATGGTAGGTACTGAAACAAGGCTGTTAAGTTTATCTGAATATGGCTAGTTGCCATCTTATTCAGCAAATGAGTGTAGCCAAAGCAAGCCAAGATCTCACCTTTAAAACAAAAGCCCACTATTCATCATTGTCACTGTAAAGTCTGCTGCAATGTGATTATTACAGTAATTCTAAGGTTCTTGGATCATTTGATCTAGTTTTCTAGTGTATAGCATTCAGATGATCTCAGAGTGAATTGGAAAACTCTTGCTCTAACCACTTTTCGTGACTCTTCAGGCTTTACAGTACACTTCATACTTTAACTTTCTTCCCAGTTTAGTTCTTCCTATATGTTCTTCAAATGCTTTGTCCATTTTCTCATTCTGATCTTCACTGAAAAGATTCTTCCAGTCACTTACAGCACCTTCAAAGAAGCAAAGAAACTCTTGAAAAACAAGAAATTTTAATTTTTTTTATTCCATAGATCCGTCATTCCTGTTCCATTGTACACTAAATGGAGTTGATCCATTTTTCAAGATAAAACTTCACTCATTTTTTGCACCAATATAACTTGGTGAAGTCAGTGGAGCTACAGATCTGTGAAACTGCTATAACACAGAAGAACGTAATCCTCTTCAGGTGACCATGTCCAAAAAGCAGCCTAAAGTCCTGTTTCCCTGCAGCTCTCTACTCCAGTCAGTTATGACTGACAAGGTGGAAGATCATAAAGGCTTAAGAATCATCTGGCAGGAGGCAGAGCTGGGTTTCTGCTCCTTTGGCAGCTTGAGTTTTTATCCGGTGACTTCTTTAATGTAAAATGCAAACATAGATTCTGGCAGCCAAGTTGGCCCTCCCATGTCTGTCCACCCTACACTACACTGCAAAAGCAGTTCCCTTTTGTTTCCCCTTCTTTACGTACCTGATTCTTGCGTGCTTGGCTTACTTCTGTGAGTGTGAACAGGGGGGTGGCAGTGTCCCTTTCAGGAGATCCTACACTCTCCTAAAAAGTGTGATCGTGCCTCTCGGGCTGAGTTTGGTCCAGTTTTGCCAGCTCAGGTAAGCCTCTAATGGCTGAAGAGTCAGTGATCTTGGCACAGAGATGGAGAGGCGTTCAGACACATGACAGCTCCTCCTTTCTGCCAGTCACCTGTGGGCCTCTCAAATTTGCTCTGTGCGGTTGCTTCTCCTGTGCTGGCTGCAGCCTGCTGCCAGAGCCTTGCTGAGTCTCTTCCTCACCAGTGCTCCTTGACTAGTCTTCTCAAGCATAACAGCGATAACCTGCTTGATACTAATCTGTATTGCTAATATGTGTGCAGAAATGAAGCAAAGGATGGGTGGCCCAAGCTCCTGAGGGTGTGACATTTCTACCTCTGGACCTCTTGGAGATTCCTACCTTTGCGAAAGAGAAGATTGCCAAACGCCCCGTGGGTCTTCTGCGAGTTCTTCTTCATTGACTGGAAGCTGCTTCTCTCTACCACAGTCTGAAGCTCTTTTTCAGTCAGGGAAAACCCAAAGAAAGCAGCTATGTTTTTCACACTCAGGACCGGATTCTGAAAAGAGGAATGTAACACACCACATGACATTTGAACAAATTGCACTGCTTTCGGAGGTGTTTGCACTTCCCTACATCTCTCTGCTGGCTACATATATAGAATATTCATAGAGTTCAGTAGAACTGGAGTGGTACACAGTGCTTCTTTTCTTCATAATTATTTCAGAGGAGATATGAGCTGACTTCCTATAGATCACAGAAGATTGTATGTGATTTACAGTTGAGCAAAATCTACACTGTTGAATATATAAAAGTTCCCACAAAAAAATTCCTGGAGTTTTTGATTTACAGTGGTTTGGGCTTATATCACAGCTAAAGAGAAAACAAGAATGATTTTCACAAACAAAATTTTAGAAAGGTTTTTAAGTTTGAATTTTACCTTTCCTTCCCTTAAAACAAGAATATATCTCATAGAGTATCACACAGTTTGAATACACTACATGAATATAATGTTTAATTTGTTTAGGAACAAACGCTCTTTGAAGTATAAAATATTTGTAACTATTGATAACCTCACCTCTTTTAGCTCTTCATAAGTTATTGTCATAACATTTTCGTCATCAGCATATTTGTTCCATTTGGAAATGTATTCAAAGTAGCATCCCCAGGGCACTAAATAAAACAAAAGAATCCTAAGATGAAGCATAAATGAAGATTAGACAAACTGCTTATGAAATAAACCAATTTTCACTCCTGAAGTTGATCCCTCAGCCATGGGCTTTGCTAATCATGTCTATGCCTGAGTTTACACCCTTCTGTGGGAATTATGGGGTTTTGCTCCAGGCTGTTCTGACACGTGCATATGTCTCAGGCATATGATATGATTTTTTAGTCAGTACAGTAAAACTTGTTAGTATTTCAAGACAGATGTGAGTCCACCAAAGAGCTATCAGTACTCAAACCATCTTGCAGACTCCCCTAATCCAGTTGAAAACCTTGTCTAACCCTCCCTTCTGCTGGCCATGTGATATGCCAGACTGAAGAATTTATGCAATTTTAAACCAGTGGGACTATTTTCTTTCTTTTTTAATGGACTACAATTAGTCCAAATCATTCCTCTGGTCCAATTTGGCGTGTAGGTGCTTAGATGTCTGCGTGGGCACAAGATGGTGGACATTAGAGAAGAGAGGTGAAGGGGATCCAAGAGAGAGATATGGAGGAACTGCTTCTTCCAGAGAAAAACATCAGTTTGTGCAAGTTAAAGCAGTTTGTGGCAGTGCAGTTTTGATAAGGATTTATCCTCAGGCAGTAAGGCAAGTACTGTAAACTTTAGTTCAAATGTCTAACTTTCTGTCCTTAATCTCTGCTTTTGTACTGTGACCCAAAATATCCTAGTGAAACTGCTTTAAAAAGTGCAAGGTTTTTAGACAAGGTCAAGGCACTGAAAAATTGACACAGACAGAAGAATATACTGTACTTTTCTTCGTCATGAAAGCTACAAAGAAATCATCCCAGGTGTCGTAGGAGGGAAGAGGAGACATGGCATTGGAGAAATGGTAAAAAGATGTAGCTACATCTTTTGGATTGCGAATCAGCAACAATATCTAGAAAAAATTAAAATATTTTATTTGTAGAGAAAGACATAATAGATTATAGTATAAAGAAAACAATAATCTACTTTATAATTGCAGTTTGGGGAATTTCTAATATCTTGTATACTACTTGCAAAAGTAGCAATTTTGTTCTAAATTCACAAGGTGAAGCATTTCACTTTGCTTCAGTACCTTGTGAAGATGACTGCCTATAATTATTAAAATATCTTTTACAGATTAATCAAGATTGCCTATAATTATTAAAATATCTTTTACAGATTAATCAAATTAATTATGCAGAATCTAAGAATATTTTGCTCGATACAAGCATCATCCATCATTTAGGCAGTGGGGAAAAATCACAAAAATACAAATTGTCTCTGAAACTTGACACACCGAAGCCCTCACTTGTGACAACACACCATAAAATGCCTCCTGTAGGAAATTGTGTCAAAATACATTTTACTGCTGGAGGATTTGTTCCATCCCTCCATCTTGCTGTGGAGACTGACACAAAGGTGTCAATAAGGATGAACTGAGATTAAGTGACATGAACGGCCACACTTAAACAGGCATGTGAAAATGGCCAGGCTAAACACTTAAGTGTAAGAGTGATTCCGAAAATTGGCAGAAAAGTACTAAATTGGCTTTTAAAAAAATCTGTTGGAGTGTTTGCTTTCAAGACATTAAAATCAGCACTCACCTTGGCTTTATTTTTTAAGATAGACGTGGGAAGATTTTCAGGAAGGAGATGAGTAAAGATAACTCTTCGAGAAGGTAATTTGTTCATTCGCTTTAAGAATGGGAAGGAGGAAAGTGGACAGTTCAGTTAGTACAAGTATTTTCATCAGCCTGCGATAAAATATTGCCTTGCTAAACTTATCAACATATTACGTTTTTGTGAGTGTTATCCTGGGATCTTAGTGGACTCCTCTGAGTAGCTCTAAGCTTCAAAAGCCCCTGAGAATAAGCAATTGGAAGAAGATTATCCATTGCTAATTCTCTTCAATGATAATGAATTTAACATGTTCTGCTAGACAAGGTACCAAATCTAAAGGTAAGAGGCAGACCCTAACTGGGGGTATGTGAAAGCTGAACGATCTCAAGGAGAGAGAGAAGGGGTGAGGAGGAAGAGCTAATAAAAGAGATAAAAGCCGGTATTTCAGTATTTGACCTTTCATGAAACTATTTTTAAACACAAAACACACCATGTTGAATTTCTGCAGTTCTTGTGTACCTAATGAGTATGTGTTCCTCTCAAGCCCTCTGAAGCGTCCATTTATCCCTCAGCATTTGGCAATGCAGACAAGATTCATCCTGACCAGATGCCACATACAGAGAAATGGGAGACTTCTTAGCAAACAGTGGCATATTTCACACACCATAATTTTAGTATTTGAAGTACAAAATTTTAACAACTTTCATACGTATTCTGTGCCCACCTCAAACTTCCCAGTATCTCCAATTTCCAGGTAGGGGAATTCTTCTAGTTCTTCATCATTCATGCTGCTTTCTTTATTCTGTGTTTTCTTTTCAAATATGGCCACCAGATCATTTAAGATTTGACCCACCCAGTTTGTGCCTGAAAGGGGAAAAATAGAGAATTGTTTGTAGAACCTTTAGAATAAACAGAAATGGATTTGCCAGGAAAGCCAAGAGGTAGGTAGTACTACTAGGTGAGTTGCCTGGTCTCCTTTCATGTGGTACAATCACAGCTGACTATCTGGACAAACAACTTCTCAGGGTCCTACCTTTGCTCTTTATAAGGACACATTTCACCTGCTCGAATGGCTCAGTACTTAGTAAATTAACTTATATATTGTAAATTAACTTGTATATTTTAAATTAGCCAATAAAGCAGAAGAACCACTACGATTCAAATAGGAAAACATGCATTAATGTCATATTTTTTAATTGTGACAAATATAAGGGGGATTAGGGTTGTAAACCTGTACCTCAAAACCTCATATATTTTATGTTTTCTGATGTGCTGCACAGGATTACCTTGGGAGGAAAGACAAGTCACAGAACTTCAACAGGGGAGCAGAACTAGATCTGAAAATTGTGCTGTATGTGCTCATTTTCTTTACCAATAGGCAAACATTCTCTAAAGTGACATTTCCTATACACAATTATTATGTTTTTATTCAAAACATTAAAAAGAGCTTGTAGAGAACTCCCATCTCTAGTTTACTATTTCCTGACTTCTGGACACGGGGTTCCTACATCTTTGTCACTACAGTCTTCATAACTGCATTCTGGTGCATAGCATTTCTTCAAAAAGAAAACATGATTAAAAAAGCAAAAACTTCACAATCCTGCCAGCTGTGACTAGCTACTGTAAAACAGTGTGAATCCAATTGCTGGAGGAGAGAAACAGCTACATTAAAATGGATATGAGACGCATCTTTTATGTCTTTTTCTCAGTCATTTGAAATATTCCCTATATAAAATTTTCATAATTAATCTTGTAATGCTTTTTGAGAACCATATCAGTTCTACAAAATTTTGTGACAATTCTAAATACTATTATTTAGTATAATATATAATATTATATATATTTAGTACAAACCTACTTATTTGCCATTGCATAACTTTATTTATGAAGAAAGCAAACTATATTCACCAGATTTAGGGTATCCTGCCAAAATGATATCATCACTTCTGGCTTCAAGGGACTCCATGGCTCTGAATACTTCAGGACTGCAAAAAGTAGCAGGGTAGAGAATCCCCTTGTAAGAAAAAAGCAGCTTGTCGCGATCCATTGTCTTAGCAGCAACCATTGCCTGATCTATGGTATCAGCAAATTTTTTTCTGGACTTCTCCATTCTTCTCTCTCTCACACACACAGGCTCTGTCACACTGAAATGCTATGCAGAAAGAGAGAGCCACAGATTACCTTTTAACAGGGGGTTGGGTTTGCTGTTTTTTTTGACCCTGTGAGCAATAATTTACTACTCTTTCTGAAGCTGTAAAGAAATACGCAACTCCAGTCGAAGACCTTGAGTAATTTGAACCTTTTGAAATCAACAGAAGTTGAACATAGGCAAACAAGAAAAACAAGAAAATGAAATTGCATTCTAGGTTAAAAGGCTTGAGTGGCTTCAAAATACGATGCCAAAAAATCTGTAACTACAGCACAGAGTTCATAAACAAAATATATCAAAATAGAGCAACGTGAATTGCAGGCTGGGGTTTAAATGGCACAATCACATTCCTCATGGCAGTTCTGCTCCTTCCAGTACTTGCTCTGCTGGGATTTTTTTTGTTGTTGTATCACTCATCTTTCTCACCAAACCAGGATCAAATGTATTGGGATTGGGAGAGAAAGTGTTCAGCGCACTAGTGATGGGGCTGTGGACCGTCCCGTGAGGGTGGCCAACTGCTCCCTCCAGCTGGTCCCCAGGAGGGCACGTAGACACACACACTCTCTGGCCATGGTTTGGACTGCAGCACAGAGTTCTGGCTTTCCGGTGCTTGCACGGAAATGACTCATTTATACGTGTTCTTTCCTTAATGAGCTCAATCATTGTTTAACAACTGATCAGTTGTTACTGAGTTGGTAATAATATAACCTCAGCTGCAATGATTAGCACTTATAATGCACTTTAGGTGATGAGCTTCTGACTGCACTGACCTCAGTAGAAAAACTGAAGTTAGGCCCACGCTTAATATTCAAGTCTCTGGCAAGAGGATGGGTCACAAAAAAATAAGAAAATAGTTCCCCCCAAAAATTCATGCCAAGCATCTAAACATTGTTCTTTCTTATCTCTACCTGAACGCTGCCTGTTGGGCACTTGGAGCAACAACTGCATACCTGTATGCTTTTGCCATTTGCTTGCCCTGAAGGATTCATGCCTGGTCCCTGAGACATGCTGCAGTGCTTGACATCATGTTGACATCAGTCAACATCTTGACTACATCTTGACATCAGTTTTGTTCAGTCCATGGAAATCTTTTGCTTTTCCCTTCATCTCCTCTTTTCTGTAAAACTGTGTCAATATAGAAAGACTACCTATGTGCAGGTGTCATCTGAACCAAATAGGCATCATATGACTCCTCCTCGATCCGTCTGTTGAATGAGATCTGTGCCAAAGCACAGCCAGTTGGCACCACCTGCATCACTTCACTGATGTTAGCTAAAAATTGCTGTACCATGAAATAGCACTTTCGCTGATTCTTGAAGTGTAACCAGCCACACTAGCAAAACAAAAAAGCAGCTTGCCTTAATTTTTTTCCTTCATCTTCCCTTGGCATTAAACTGTCATAGACTGAAGCCAAGAAAATGTGTTTAATTGGTATTTTTACCTGCTGGCAAAAAAAAAGTGTTGGGACAGTACACATTCCCTAAGGAACGAAAAAGGGGGAAAATGGTATGTAAGTTATTAATGTATCTCATGCATAGATACATACATAGATATGTATTAATGTGTCTCATAGCATAGTGTTGGAATAGGATGTCCATGATAGAAAGACAGATCATTTCACTCCTACACTTCACTTATCACAGAATAGTCCAAAGAAACCGTGATCGAGAAAATCCAGAGGATTTCCAGTGTATTTTTGCCAGGGAGGGCAGTCAGGCCAATTATTCCTTGGAGGCAAGTTTTATCCTTAGGAACCAAAAAAACCCCAGTATTAGTGGAGAAAAAACAATTAGTAAGACATAAGTCATGAGGAAGGATTTTGATGGGAGTTAAATTTCTTGGCAAAAAAAAAAAGCAGGATCAAGATTTGGTAATGTGAGCCTTTGATACAGCCATCTGGCACGACACCTGAGTAGGGAGATGGGAGGAGTGTACCTTGCACTGTATGTGTTACACAAGAAGACCCTCTGATCCTGCCGAATACTGAACCCAGAGACTGGCAGAAAACATCAGTTGATTTAAAGTTTCTAAGAAGCAGCTTTAAAAACACAGAGATTAAAAACAGATTAAAAGATTTGGTAATCTCCAGATTAACGGTACTTGTTGTTCAAGCCACCACAGTGCCTCTAAAGGTTTCTAACTTCCCATACTTATCAGACCTGGTCTTTCCTGACTGTGGGGCTTTGCAGAAAGAGACTGGTGACCTTTCCTGTGACAGCTACAGGACACTGCCAGCTGACAGCTGCCCAGTGGACTGATCTGCTTACGCAGATCCATTCCCTGTTAAATGAAACAACAAAGCAATACCCTTAAAAGTTGTGCCCTCAGGTGGTAAATGAGAAGAGGTGGGTTTCTCTAACTATCCCTATGGTCTGCGCTAATCTCAGTAAAACTCTGGAGAAGGCTTCCCTAAATTAGTCCTCCAAAATGACCTAGTAAGATTTAAGATGGATCCATTAAGATTGATCCATTCATGAGAGTACCCTAAAATCCCCCTGATCATCCATCTGCAAAAAAAAAACCCTCAGGGGGAGGACATTCCCTGGGATCCTTTGAATGAGTCCATGAAAAGTAGGACTTAAACTAGAATCGGTTCTACAACGGAAATACCATATGCGGCATTTTTCCCTTAGCATGTGCCTGATCATAAGGGAGTCAAAGCCTCCAAACAGAGACCAGGATGTCTTAGGTTATGTGATAAAGCTGGTCTGCACATCCACGAAGGAGCACAGAGAAACAGGGGAGGGGAACCCAAACTATACCCTGCTGAGAATCTCCCAGGCCCATCACAGGAGCCATCAGTTCATCAAAGGCCTCTCCACACCAGCCCAGAGGAGCACAGGAACCCAAGTTGAAGACTGAGACAAAGGGATACCCTGCCCAGGCCCCTTCTAGGGCTGTCCCAGGCAAGCTTCAGTCCCAGTGTCCCGGTGGGAAGATGACCCATCTAGATGATCAGTGCTGGAGCACCTTTTGAAGACTGGCAGAGACTGCTGGCTGGCGCTATAGGCACATTAAGGAATGCAGAGGAAGAGCCTTTCATGATTGCACAGGACTTACTAGGTCAGGAGTACAGGACATGTGTGAGACGACTGCCACAAACCCAGTTGTTTCCCTCCTGCATGACACTATTGTTATCTGCATGACACTATTGTTATTTACTTAAAAATACAGGAAATACTGAAACAGAGATGAAAAATAATTAATCCTCAGTACATGATCCAGGTTCATTTTCTTGACTGCTCTAAAAAACTGTTTCAGCTCGGGTCTAATCTGTTGTAAAATTCTCTAGGATCGTCCTTCATCTTTTGTTTTCCTTCTGAATTGTAAAATCTTCTTTGTGATGGTCACCTTCCCTGACCAGGACAAAACTGGTCACAACATCAGATTAGACCACTATCCCTCGTCTACAGAAGTATACCCAGATCTGTCTTTCTGCTACCCAAAACTTCCCCCATGTCTCTTCTAAACTTTCCTCTCACAGCTTTTCTTCAGCTTCAGCTTTTATGTCTCTGGAGAGTTTCCGCTGTTTTAATCCCCTCTCTGGAACAGGGTAGGAAATAAGCAATTTTCCACAGCTTTCATCATCTCTATTAATGTACTGGCTAGTTGCCGAAGTACAGATGCAAAGGTTAACTGCCCTCTCCCTCCTGTTAATACTCCACTAGGTAGTAAGAAAGAGCATGCCAGTAAATACAGAGAATTTCATGACACACAATGCTGGAGAAATGATCTTTTTACACTAATCTGGAGATGTCAGCTGTATGTTAACAGACTCCTCAAACCATCACCAAAAGAGATTTATTTCCTTGCTTTTTTGTTTAATCTAATCTTTCCCAACCATATTGATGAAATTAAAAAGTTGGAAGTGTCCGACTAGAACTTTGTTACCAAATAAATGTGCAAATGTAGGACTCAGGCCAGTGACCTCAAGAAGTTGCCTGTTGCCTCATTGTGTATCTATACAACCTGACATTAAAAGCAACAGGAAGGAAGGAGCAAAGAAGAATGTCACAAAACACTCACTGATGTTCTGGAGGACTTTCTGATTCTTGCTAATGCACTAAATGTCCTATTTCCTGCAAAATTGTCATTAATTCCATTATGGTCTATGCCCTGAAATAGGCAAAGCTCTGGAGCCTGTGGTACAGAAGTAATTATGTCATACAAACAAAGTGTAATGTGGCAATACAAATGAGGCCAAATATAAAATGCAAATGTAAAGTATGCTAGATAGAGCTGATTAAAGAGGTATCTTGAAACAGGTTATCCAGATGCATTAAAAAACCTAGTCCTGTCACATTCTTTGCAAAAAAAATAATTGCAATTTTAATTTTCAGTATATGAATTTAAATGATATATTCCTATAGGAGCTGGAATTGTGCAGCTTGGGTCTTAAAGTCAAAATTGTGTATTTTCACAGAGAGAAGGTAATTTAATTCCTTGTCTGAAGATCATATTTTAACTGTTTTTTTCACATAACTTCTCAAAGACATTTAGTTTTATTCAAATATTGTGGTATTAGGACTGGGAAGTTGTCGTTGTTTCAGCCCAGCCAGCAACAAAGCACCACGCAGCCGCTTGCTCACTCCCCAACTGCTCCCGCCCCGGCCCCCGGCCACGGTGGGATGAGGAAAAAATCTAAAGGCAGGCTCGTGGGTCGAGGTGAGGACTGGGAGGGATTGCTCCCCACTTATGGTCGCGGGCAAAAGACAGGGTCAACTTGGGGAAGAAACAAAATCAATTTAATTTACTACCAATCCAATCAGAACAAGGATATTAGGAAGTACACCCAGACCTTAGAACCCCTTCCCCCCAGCCCTCCCTCCTTCCCACCTCAGCCCCACTCCGGGTTCTCTCCCCCTCCTCCCCCGGCGGCGCAGGGGAACAGGGGACGGGGCTGGGGTCGGTCCCTCACCCCTTGTCTCTGCCGCTCCTTCCTCCTCAGGGGGAGGAGGACTCCGCACTCGGCCCCTGTTCCACTGCGGGGTCCCTCCCACGGGACACAGTCCTCCACGAA